GGCATATCTTCTGGCATATGTTCTGGCATATCTTCTGGCAAATCTTCTGGCATTCTATCTGGCATTCTATTTGGCATTCTATCTGGCATATCTTCTGGCATTCTATCTGACATATCTTCTAGCATTCTATCTGGCATTCTATCTGGCATATCTTCTGGCATATATTCTGACATATTTTCTGGCATTCTATCTGGCATCCTATCTGGCATTCTATTTGGCATTCTATCTGGCATATCTTCTGGCATATCTATCTGGCATATCTTCTGGCATATTTTCTGGCATTCTATCTGGCAAATCTTCTGGCATTCTATCTGGCATTCTATCTGGCATATCTTCTGGCATATTACCTGGCATTCTATCTGGCATATCTTCTGACATATCTTCTGGCATTCTATCTGGCATTCTATCTGGCATTCTATTTGGCATTCTATCTGGCATATCTTCTGGCATATCTATCTGGCATATCTTCTGGCAGATTTTCTGGCATTCTATCTGGCAAATCTTCCTACATGAGGTCCGGCAGGGAACACTTGGCATGGATACTCGCGGTTGAGGTCCGGCAGGGAACACTGGGCGTGGATGGCCGTGGTTGAGGTCCGGCAGGGACCACTGGGCGTGGATGGCCGTGGTTGAGGTCCGGCAGGGAACACTGGGCGTGGATGGTCGTGGTTGAGGTCCGGCAGCGCACACTGTGGATCGCGAGTCGCAGTTGAGCAGGAGGACGAGGAGGACAACGAGGACGACGAGGACAACGAGAGGACGACAAGGATGACAAGGAGGACGAGGAGGAGAGGAGGAGGAGGAGAGGAGGAGGAGAGGAGGACGAGGCAGGAGGAGGAGGAGGAGGAGGAGGCAACTGACATAAAATCTAACAACCCTCACCTGGCAGGTGGGGAAATGGTGATTTTCCATGGCTATGTTAAATAACCAGAGGGTATATATATATATATATAGGTATATGCAGATCTATGATGATGATCTATGCGCGCATGTGCACCATGATGCTTCGATCATCTCCGCCTGCACTGGATTGCTGATCTCAGCCGTGTTCTCTTCATTGATGGACTGCAAAGCTAAGCTGCCACCTGACAGATGCAAAACTATCGCTTGTCATCAAAACTCTGACAAACATTATATATAAACATTGTGGGATTCCCAATTCATGGATTATGATAATCCACAATATGATTGTTTCCTAAAATGGAGGGACCCCCAAATCAACCAAATTTAGACCACTTTAGTATATTTTAGTATTGAAACCCAATGGTTTTATTTATGATACCACCATTTTAGGAAACCTCCATATAATATATATATATATACGTATATACACATAGGATTAATAAATTATAAAGGGTAGCATCGTCCAGATTCAAGTCTTAAGTGTCAATCCCAAGGAGTTGAAAGGCTGCACAAAAAACGAAAATCAAGTGAGCTGATTTTATATGTGTTTGAGAGTTGGTACGGAAGCTGATAATTGATGATAATTGTATATAATTAATTGCAATTTCCAGTGTGATTTTGTTTCTGCCATGAAGTAGCCAAACAAAATGGATCAAAATGGATCAAACCTTTCCCCCAGCTTTTTTTTTCTGCGCTTTCGGGATGGCCCACATGGTGCTGAACGGTTTAGCGCGCCTTCACTGGCAGTTGATTTGCTTGGGGAGGCCGTTGTCTCCTGACAGTGATGAAACTATGATACCCCTAGTGTTTGGGGGGGTACCTTCGGGGCGTCCCTTAAAGCCTTAGACGTTCATGAGACGAGCAATTTAGATAATTTATTGCTTAATATCGATTGATTGACTGACTTACTCTATATAAACGCTGCAATTGATCGATATTGATGGCAGGGAGGACTCTTAACAAGCTCGGTAAATCCTCCACTATGTTCGTATATAATTATGGTGCACATCCCCACAACAATGCAGCCTATCAGGGACGTGCACCTATCCGACAGGCGGAAGGGGTGTTTGGTATGGACCCATACCTACACCACCCAGATTGGCCAGAAATGGGTCTAGTTTCCCAATCATATCTGAAGCGAAATACTCCCAAACATAACAACCAATTCATCGGAGTATCATATCACCCATGACGGATCCGGCTGGTGCTGGTATATATGCGATCCCATAAAGGGGCTATATTGATGGGATCCATGGAGCACCATAGCAGCACCATGGATCCGTCATGGGATCCAGATTGGCACGGCACCAGATTCAGATCCCCAGATATCCCCAGTTAATCCCAGGCTTGGTCGAGAAATCCCAGGCCAACCGTCCATTTTTCATCCCAAAACACTGGCCAGTGTGGATGAGTCATGAATCCTCACGTGTTGGATTCCTAGGCCAATTACAATGTATATAATGTATATATATATATATAGTTCGGTTTCTCTGAGATTCAAATACCCAAAAATCAAAATCCGTCAAAATCCATTAAAATCCCATGCATTACTGCATCAAATCCCCTATTGAAAAGACTATGACTTGGGGTATACCCAATTATCATACACCTATCATTGAGTATTGGTTGCAAATGATTCCTACAAAGTGGTGGCCAGTTGTAAGTTGCTTTATAAACTTCGTGAACTATAGCTATAAGATGGTATAAGTTGTACAAGTATTTATAAGTCTGTATAAGTACCATAAACCATAGTTATACTGGCTGGTGGTTTCAACCCCTCTGAAAAATATTAGTCAGCTGGGATCATTATTCCCAATATATGGAAAAATAAATGCCATGTTCCAAACCACCAACCAGTTATATGGAGTTACCCTCCAGTAAACTAACATAACTATGGAAAATCGCCAGTTTTCATGGGAAAACTCACTATAAATGGCCATTTTCAATAGCTTTTTGTTAGTTTACCAGAGGGTATATCCCATGAATATCCCATGAATATCCCATTGAATCACTATAAAATCCCATTAAATCACTATAAATCCCATTAAATCCCATTAATAGTGAATCCAACTGAGCGATTTCGTGGCCACGTGGGGTCCACGTTTACTTCTTCCGTGGCACACCTCCAAGGCAGCACTGCGACTGGCACCCTGCGCGGCATCATCCACCTGGGAGGTCGTCCATGGCATCCATGGGGAGTTGAAAACCATGGAAAAACCATGGAAAAACCATGGAAAAACCATGGAAAAGCCATGGAAAAGCTCCTGCAGATGTCCCTTTTCTGAATCATGTCTGGGATTTTGAAAAATCCCACACAACTGCAATGTGCTGCTCCTAAGCGGAATGTCTGTTGGATGATGTTTCCCACCAACTAATTCGATATGTCAGCCTAGTTAATAAAGCAACTTCGCGAAGTATGGGGCACTACACTGTGGTGATGTTCCCTTGATCTAAGTGATGCATTTCATATAATATGATGATTACCCACATACGATGCCTGGCCGAAGAAAATAACAATATTTTAAGTTTATGTCATCCATCGGTTTCCATGACTCACTTTGGCTGGCCATGTGCTTTGGTTGGATGTGAACCCAGCATCATCACCTTTGGATATTCAATATGGTAAATCCGGGTTCAGAACCCCCCAGCTGATTGACGGGGGACAAAAACATGCTGTCATATTATGTTATATTGTCAATTCTAATTAATCGCTCAAAATTCAAAATCATCAACTTCCTAATCCTGGGATAAATATACACGTGTGGTGCCAGGGGGGTGGAACCCCTTAAAAAATGAAGTAAAATGGAGGGGCCTAAGAACAAAATGCCAATAAAATGAGAGGGCATAAGGTAAGATAGGATAATCCAAGCAAAATACAATGGACAAACACAAAGAGAATATGGCGTCGGGCCCCCCACCTGGCAACTGTTGGACGTCAGGCCCCGGCATTTTTTTCCGTTATATTGATTTTTATATTTCCTTAGATCGTTGACAGACATTTGTACAGTATGATATGCATAATCATTACAGTTTCAGAACTTAATTCATCTATAGCATTTTTGTTATACATTAGGATTATATAGTATTATCGTTCTTACTCACGATCATTTAATCTTTGTTTGTCATTGTGTTTCATATTTATTTTTCACAGCACGCACTCCTGCTAGAATCAAATTGGATCGACAACAACTGCTGTTTCAGTTTCATATGCTCCATAATGTCCAAGTGATTCCAAATCTCTGGAAGGTTTCACAGAATGATCAGACCGTTCACAGCTGTGCATCTTTGCTATCATGCTATCTCTGTCAGTTAACGTGATGGGTTGGGCCCCTCAAAAATAAAATGCACCCACAAAATAAAATGCAGGGGCCTGACCCAATTTTATTTTCAGATTTGCTTATTTTGTTTATCTTTTAAGGGGGTCCTGCCCCCTCATTTTCTTGAGGTACACCATAGGAGGATGATAAATTGGTCAATTTCCTTCCCCCAACATAGACCCTGAAAACCGCTCATCCAAAAAGATGCCAGTAGTCAACCCTAAGTTCATGGCAGGGAGTCGATGTTGGAGGCTGGAATATTAACCAACAGATGCCCCCCAAATCAACCAAAGTATAGGTCTAGGAGTTTAGGTGCCCTCTGGCGTCATTTTTCACGTGGCTGGCTGGAAAAATCCCAAAATGTATGTTGCTGGGAATATCATCTATAAATGGAGGATGTTCCATTTCATGTTTGATTACCCGGTCACCCTCCCCATCCTCCCATATCCTCCCCATCGATCCGAGGGGCAGCTCCCATTAGCACGTGGAAGAAGACCGTCATGGTGAGGAGATCAGTGTGGCCATCCTGACACGAGGCCCCTGGGCAGTTTGCCAGACATGGGAATGATGAAGCAACTTACATGGGGGTACTTATGCTACTTGGTAGAATTACATGTTACAGTATATAATTAGTTGCATATAGTGTTCATGTAATTAATATAATAGTGATGCGTAGATAGTATCGTAGAAACAATATAGCAGCATAGCAACTATCATGGTTGTATGAACCTACAAAACTTGGATTTAACACAAGGCACAAGTCTTCACACTCACTTCTTTGTCAAGATCTTCGGCTTGCTGCGGAACAGTTTCTGGCTGATGGAACCTGCCAGAATTAAAACCTTGTCACATGCACTTATGACATGTCCAGCAATAAAGCCTATGCAATCACTGTCGAGATTTCCTGCTCTTGAGCCTCCTCCTGAGCCTCCTCCAAGCCAACCATCTCAGTCTCTGTTGCCTGCTTGGTCTGGATTCTTCATCAGCTATGATCTCCACATCGACATCTACGTCAGACTCAGCTTCTACCTCTGATTCTGATTCTGATGTCTCTGTCTCTGTCTCTGTCTCGGCTTCCGATTCGGACTCGGATTCGGATGTCTCAGTCTCGGTCTCAGTCTCCGTCGTCTGAGTGGAGGCTCCACCATTGATGTCGTCATAGCTCTCCTCGGCATAGTTGAAGAGCTCATTCAAAGTGCAACCAGCTGCGGCTGCAGCAGCTTCTCCCTGAAAAAGAAGAAGAACCTCGCAGTCCGATTCAAAATCGAACTCCGTCCCTTGATCAAGAATATCCTCCCAGCTCTCTAAATCATCCTCTGATTCTTCTTCTTGAGCTTGAACCTCTTCTTGGGCAGGACGTGACCAGCCGCTCTTGATTGCCTTCCAAATCGTTTTGAAAAGCTTCATTATGCCTTCTGCTACCAGCATGCTTCCTGTACCAACCGCAAGGTTTATTCCGATCATCTCGCCCGAAACCTGAGCAGCAGGTAGATTCGAATTTGGTGTAGTTGGTGTACCGCTCCCAAGCTGGCAATAGACGTTGTTTTTCTTTGGTCGAGGGCTGCCAGCGTCCCAAACAGAACCGATGCACTGGTTGCCGATGGTTTGATCTTTGGGCGTTCCAGCATTGTAGTAAAACAGCAGGTAAGCACTGTTGAGATTGCCTTGGAGCAAAGTCAAGGGCCAACAAAACCCTCCGGCACAAAAAAAGCAGGACTTCGGAAAGAAAGCAGGGATTCAGTGAGTTTCAAGCAATAAGACTATGTTAGTGCATGTTAGTACAACATACATAGTACAATAATAATAGGACAGAAGTTACATGAGTTACAAAAGCTACGCAAACTTAGGCACCTGGAGCAGTCCAACTCAAGACATTGTTGTTGTAGCGAAACCCCGAAATGGGAGCCTTGTCGTAGCTGATCTTTGCTGAAGCTTCTGGCGCTCCAGGAACCGCGTTCACCACCAGTTCGAAGGACGTCTCCTTTGGGGTCTGTCCTGCACCTTGGATGGAAAATATTGGGAAAGTTCAGGTTGAAAGTCTTTTGAGCTACCCTTCAATCCACCCAACTCTATGGCAAAACTGAACTCCATGGGGTCCCCAACTATAGTTACGGCCAAACACCTCGTTTTGCCCGAGGCACTCTCAAAATACTGTGAGTTATGGGTCATTCTGGCATTCCTGAAAAGCTCAGGTATGGGACCTGTGCGACATTGCACATATCATCCTGAACCCTATCATACTAAAGCCGTAAAACCCTAAAACTTAAATCCTACACCCTAAACTCCAAAAACATCAAAAAAACATGAGGAATCAAAGAAAACCCTGAAAAGTAAAACACCTAAACCCATCTAAACCTTATAAAACCTTAACTCCAAAACCCTAAAACCATCTAAAACCCTAAAACCTTAAACCCAAAAGTGATGCTGGGCGAAACGAGGTGTTTACGCGTATAGTTACTATAGTTAAGTTGGGAGGCTGCCTGCATATCCTATATGGCTGAAATATGCTGAAATCCAAGTGGCTCAAGAGGAAGACCTGATAGGTATCACTGTACTGAGAGAGAGGTGTCCCATTCACTGTGTTTGCCGGAATCGGCTTGTGGATTTTGCCTCCATGAGCTATGGAGTTTGAACCCACGCAACCATAAGCATTGTATCCAGCAAGGCTTGCGATGGTAGGCGCTGTGGACGAAATCGCACCACTGAATTGAGGACCGACATAGGCATTGGCAGGCAAGGCTTTCAGCGTCTTGTTGGTCAATATTATGAAAGTTAACTTTGCAGATTGCGCGTTGCCAGAGGACATGTTCCAGGTGAGAACACTATCAACAAAGCTCCAACGCTGGATGGTCTTATTCAAATACTTCACCACGCCTCTGCCAATAAGCGAAGAGGGCTGCCCTGAAATTTGGCTGCCATCAGTGAAGTAGATGGTGTACAAACCAGTGTACGCGTTCAAAGATCTGTCTCTCGCCTTCGTAAAAGCTTCAAGAACCTGATCAAATGTTGTGTCGTAGCCCTGTTTTTCCAGCCAGGAGTTGATGAGCTTCATGGCCAACGTTGGATCTGTCGTCTTGATATAGGACGTGACTTCCTCGGCGTCGACGGATGTCAACGGCATAGACTCCATCATGAAAAGATATTGGGAGTTTCCTAAAATAGGAGTACCCCCAAATCATCCATTTTTGTAGGCTTTTCCATTATAAAGCATCCATTTTGGGGTACCCCAATTTATGGAAACCGGGAAACCCCCCAAAAAACGTCAACCTGAGACCATCCGACAGGCCATCAGCGCAATCCCGAACTACGGATACATATGAGGCTACATACAACCACTTTTGCAAGCAAACACAATACAAAAAGCTTAAAAATCCCTTGAATGCCTCTGACTGGAATTATATAATCAAGCTTCTTTTGCCCATTCTTTGGCAAAAGACATACTTCTGTAGACAGCTTGGACAAATTCTTCTGCAGCATTCGTGTCATCCTTCATCATCATGCGGAGGCGCCCAGCATGTCTGGAGAGTATGGCTTTCTCTTCCTTTTCTGTTAACTTGACGGCGTTTCTTTTCAAAAAGGACACCGGATTCCTCCGGAAAGCGTGCAGCATGTGAGGCTTCAGGGCCAAGTCACGCAACAACTCATATGCCGCCTTGCTTGCTTTGGTCGCTTTATAGCCCTGAGGTAACTTGTGAGTCTTTAAGTCTTCAATAGCCTTGAGGTCCCTGGTGCTGTAAGGACTGCCCTGGTGGAAAGGTCCTCTGAAGAGAGGTATGATTTGACAGGACTGAAATCTCAAGGTTTCATATGGTTTCATCATGTTCATCGCAAAAACGAGGAACTACCCAGAATCCCAACTTACTCTGTCGGTTATTTAATATAGCCATGGCATAGATGGCCCATAGAAATAGAGGTTTAGCTATTAAACATGGTGATTTTCCATGGCTATGTTAGTCATAACCAGATGGTACCCGAAAATTTCTTCGAACCAGCCGGTCCTGCCAAAGGTTTGGATTCCTTTGAGGTCAGCCGCAGGCCCAACTGGGCGGCTATGACAGCGTTCGCCTTTTTCAAGGTTTTTGGCGGAATGTAAAATGTGGAGATACCTTGGCTCAACAGCGATGCCGGATGATGCCGGGCCAGTTGGGAAACGTTGGGAAATGGGAAGCCCAGGAAGATAAAAAAGAACTACCCGGGCCATGAAGCTTTGGCTTTCGCTTGGAGTCTGCATCGGATGATCCCACAGCTTCAACTACAGGAAAACAACTCCCATCTTGGTAACCCAGGGTTCATGGGTATGAATGTGTCCATATCATCATATCAGTATCCGTATCACATCGCAAAAGCACAGCAGAAAGAGATTCCAACTTCCCCCTTTAAATTCGATCGATCTGCCGTTGATCTTCTTCTGGACCTTTGGGTCCCAAAGCTCACGGATGGTGAATCGATCAATCCTGGGATCGACAATGGAGAACTGCGGGGCGATGTAATGCGTTAATTGATGATCCTCACCATAAATCTCCTCAAGCTTCTTGACCAGCATGGGGAACTTGGTGTCTTTGAAGCCAGTGAAGTTGAATCCCATGTCACCAACACTGCCTGGAATACTTTGGTGACAAAAAAGTGAAGCAACTTATATTATGGAATGTAACCAAGAATCAACCTCACTAATGTGTTATTTGTCCAATTGCAGCCTGTTACATCAATATATATAATATCATTATCATAAACCCAATCAGCTGTCACATTTCGAAGAAAAAACTATTTGCCTTTGGGTATTGGGTTTTTCACGGCCTTTTGCCGAGCAACCCACTTGGAAAAGAACCACGTGACCATCGGTGAAGAGCGTTCTCTCCCGCAACAGCAAATCGGTGGCCTCCAAGATCTGCAGCCCGGGGCGGGAGGGATCCACACTGAGATCAGCCGACCTGAGATCAGCCCGAACTGGGGATCTTTCATGGCACACCCCTGGCATCAAAATAGCTGGGTTAAAACGGTTAAAATGGATGGACTCATCCCCTAAGAAGAAACTGTATCTATAGGTATTGATCATTATTGATCCACAGCCATATCTTCAATGTTTTATCTGAAAAAACATTAATCCGCTCAGCTCTGTGATACTGTACCAAATTAAATGGATGGTCCTACAAAGCCTGTTCAATCTGTAAATGCCATCCAAGCTCTTCCCCGCAGTTCAAAGTTCAGTTATTTTGACAGGGTACATTGGATCAGTAAGATCAATAAGGCGAAAATGCGAAGTTGACAGTGAATGACACGTCAAAATATGGAAACACCATGAAAACAAAATGAACAAATTGAAAAATAGACCTGCCGACATGCAGTCGATCGCAGAGACGCCCGGGAGCATCTGTGCATCAAAGCCTTCCAGCCATGCAATCTGTAAAGCACGATGTGCTGGGCTCACAAAAATGCCGGGGTGGCCATAGAATACTCCAACCTAAGGCAGTGGCCAAGGCCAAAAGATCAAAAGGAGTGCACCTAAGAAATGCAAAGGAAGGAGTCAACGCTTCATGTTACGAGACCAGCCACAACATACTTTCCATCACGAAGACTTTCCAACAACTTCTCCGCCATCTGGGTATAAGTGTCGCGGCGAGGCTTGCCATTTCCATAGAGGTTGTAGAGATCGATTGACTTCTTGGCATGTTCCTGAATGAACAGCTCTGTTGTTGGATCAGCCACGGCATAGTAGACAATATCCGCCGCCTCAACATGACCCAGGCCCTCCAGTGTGAAGTGACCAACACCTTTGATGCCGGAGCCGACCAGAACCAGCTTCCCAGCTCGTGCACCGGCCCTGAGTTTCACCGCTGGTGGAACTGGTTGGACCCGTTGCATCAAATCACTGGTGTCGCTGATGGAACTGCTATCCTCACAGACGTTGCCATTGCCATTGCCATTGACATTGGGACATGAGAGCTGCGCTTGCGCTGCCACCAACAGCAAACTCACGAGTAGCAAGGCCATGGCCCGTCTCGCAAGAACTGTTATCAAATGCTAAATGTCATCAGAGTTTTTTCTATGTTGATCATGTGTTTGGGTAGTCTTCATAACATGTTTTCTTTGGCCGCATGGACGAAGTCGAGGCTGGACATAGGTTCCATTCTACTACCTTCCATGGACATGGGCTCCTCCGAAACCCATCATGCCTGGTTCACTGGTCCAATTCGATTTTGAACATGTTGCCAGTTGTCCAGTTGTAAGCAAATACACATACCAACTAAACCAACTGATTGGTTTTCTGACACTGTAGCACAACTGTAGCAAAAACATGTGCACGTGTTGCATGCAAAAAGATTCATTCATGCCCCCTGAGCATGGGTTTGCTCTTTCAGAAATACCTGATTCAAATATGGTTTTCTTCAAATATCAGTAATGTGTATTAATACTAAATTATAGAAGTGTCCAACAACCATTTAAAAAATGCAATGTACTAAAGAATAAATAAAGTGTCCAACATCATTCAAGCATCATTCAAAATAAACAAGTGTGTAATATATATGTTGAATATGTTCCAGTGTCCAACCATTCAACCATCAACCATCAACAACCATTCAACAACCAGCAGCTGCCTTGTTGGGATCCAGGTGCCGCCACAGCGCCGCCTGGAGCCGCGACTCCAATTCGTCGCAGATCTGGCGGATGCGTTTGAAAAAAAAATACATGGGAAAATCAAGGGGAAATCATGACAAATCATAGAAAATCATGGAAAATCCGGTGACGTTACTATATAATGTAATGTAATGTAATACAATATAGCTGTATCTCTATCTATATCTCTGTGTGTGTGTGTTACCTGGGAACTTGGGATGTTTGTTCACCGCGGGAATTGAGGCCCAATGTTCACAGTAAAGTGAATGGGAAATGCGCCTCGGTTTTCAATGCAAAATGGGGATTTAATAAACATATATAAACATGAACAAAGCACAAAATTGAATACTTATTGGTTGGATTTTTTCAGGACTTTGGATCAAGTTGGATTTGGAATCATTCGGATGTTTTGTGGAAAAAAAATGGCAAAATCTCCAGCGATTCGATGGTGGAGATAGCTGATCGAATAGCAACGAAATTGGGGAACAAAATTCATCATAAAGCGATATTAAGATGTACATACATATATATATATAATATGTATATATATATATATATACTGTATAATTATATACTGGTTGGTGGTTGACCTACCCCTCTGAAAAATATTAGTCAATTGGGATTATTATTCCCAATATATGGAACAATATAAAATGTTCCAAACCACCAACCAGATATATATATATATATTATATCAAGCCCATGGGAGCTGTTTAATGCTCTGCAGGTCACAGCTTTTCTTCGAAATTCGACTGTTTGCCACCTAGGCTCTGCAGTTGCAAACTGCGGTAAAAGAATTTCCCGGTCCATTCACATGGAACGGGGTGAAGCAAGAAGCTGTTAGGGCTAAGCATATGTGGCCGAACGGTCCTTGGCAACTTGGGGATGGAGTCATTTTTTGTTTCTTTTTTCGAAAGCGATGCGCAGTGGCCACATAGCTTTTCTTGCATCCCTGTACTTGAATCCGAACTGTACAAGATACAGCTCCTGGGCTTCGAAAATTGGTCTCCCTTCAACTCGAAGCCATCACTGCCGAGCTCTTCCAGCAGCTGTGTCCAGATCTCGGGTGGTTGATACTTCAACAAACGGGAAGCCTCCTGGAGTGATGGCTTCAAAATCGAGACCCTTATGGGGCAACATCCCCTGAGCTTTTTGTAGCACCAACCAGTGCTGGTAGAAAAACAGCAGCACTGCAGGGCAGGAAGATCAAAAAATCCACAGCATGTATCAACATGTGGCAGAATCATGTCTGAAGGGGTGGAACTCTTCTAGTGATGTTTCTTAAATTTTTCAGAAAGAACTCCTTGGCCCAGCTTGGTTTGGCAGGCTGCCTGAACCTCTGGGAAAACTGGGAGGCGTATCCGATGGATTAAGCCGATTAAGCATCGACAATGGCCAATGACCACATGTCCGTCTGTGGGACTCAGGGCATGCTCAAACCTCAGCACAAGTGAAGCCAATCACCTGAAAATTTGGGTGTCTCACCACAGCAAGTGGACGATTTCACTAAATAGAAATTAGCATATTACCATGGGTCTAGCCTATTGGAATGTGCACTGGCCTTGGATTTGACTTGAACAAATGACAACAGGCCAACACATCAAGAATCTCTGGTAAGGGCTGGCAAATGATGTCAAAATCACCCTATGTTCATTGACAAATTTGCGCATTAGACCCTAATGTCTTGCTGGTTGTAGCCTTTGCTTTGCATTGTGGCTTACCCATTCTTGCTGGCTAAATCCACGTTTCCATTGCTTTAAATCTCCATGTTTTTTTCAGGGCACAATAAATCAGGAAGTAAATCCATATTTGATCCTAGTTTTTTCATCTAAGTGTTAAGAACTGCATTTTGGTCAAAGTTTGGGAGATTTGGGGCTACCCGCCATTTTGAGAAAGTCCACGTGAAACGTGAAACCACTGGGTCTCCCGTCGGCCGCCAGTTTCTGTGGCACCTCAGTGTATTGCGCCACCAGTTCGCGCAGCCTGGTGCCTGCGCCGGTCGAGCCCATGGGTCATATTATGGAAAGTATATTGAACACATCATGGTTAATATATATATACATATAAATATAGTTTAAAAAAATACATATATATATATGATATTATATGATCATATGTATATATACATATATACAATGTACAATATATATATATTGCAATATATTAAAATGTATATCATCTATGTACATTATATATATATACCCATGATCTATGATATATCATAGGTCACTTATCGTTGGTACACATATTTGTAGTACAGCCGAATGTGCTACCGGGTACAACGCAAAGGGGGCGGATTGCTTCATGGCGTCTCACCGAAGATTGCGAGCAGCTCAACTCCATGGATTGGTTTCCAGTAAAATCTTCGTGCAAGCAAGTTAGGGATCGGAAATGTCTGCATATATATGTACATATATGGGGATGGATCAATACCTATTAATACCATTTTTAGTGATGAACATCCATTTACCAGCTATTTTGATGTTCACCAGGGGTACAAGGTTTTGACACACTGCCATATGTTCCCTTCCCCCTAAAATAATTACAGCCCAAACGAATTCTGGTTTAGTATTGGATCGAATGTGTTCATGATTGTTCATGAATCGGGGTCGCTTGCTTGGAGTAGGCATTCAATAGAATGGTATGAGTACTTGCTCTTGGAAGTTATGTGGAATGATACTTGGACAATTATATAGTCATATGCATAATGTCATATACTTTCGTTGTAAGTCCTAAGATCTAGTTTATTGTTTACCAAGCCAACTAATTTGGGTTCAACCAGCGACAGTTAGTTGGGCCTCAACTCCCATACCATAGCTGTGGTCAACCGGCATTCTTAGTTGGGGGCATGGTTGATTGATATCCCATCAACTCCAGCCAGTGAATCATCAATTGCTATGTATATACATATTTATACATATATATATATATATTGTTATTATTTATATATTTATATTGTATGCATATATATATATAGTGTGTGTTATACAAATATATTATGTATGTTTATGTATTATATATATATCATATCCCATATTACTACTCGACTCTATCCCCCATGAAAATCTGATCATTGTTTATGGGGATTCACCCTGCAAGCTGCTCCCCCAACGATAAGGGTTGATTCAAAGTTGATTCACGATTTATTCATGATTCATCAACAAACCAAACAAATATATACTTTTGTAACAGGGCGAACCTTAGCCATCTATTATTGGGGAGCGTCACCTGACGTGGTTGCTGAATACCCAACAAATCACGAAGAAAAAAAACTCCCATTGTTCCCATGACATTTAACTGTTAACTTTTATATTCAGACTGACTATGCTATACCAATCAATCAATTCCTAATATCCAGCTATATCCCAATGTTGCATTCCTACATTCCCATGATTTCCCCAACATTCTCATCATTTTCCACACCTGAGATGGTCTCGTTCTCGCAGAGCTCATCGGCCACCCGGTCCAGGCACGCGCGGTTGTTGTTCAAAATCGTCAACCTAACATGTGTTTGATTCAACAAACAATACCGGGAATATATATATATATATATACAATGGGAATATGATACCAACAACAATGGGTAAGTGTTGAATGGATAATGATGGGATTTAACCAACAAGAACGGTGATTTCATTGGATTTTGATGGGATTTGACAGTCAAGAACAGGGAGGGTAAGAGGGATAATGAGGATTAATCATCAATATATAATGAGTAAACATGGGATTAATGTTTGATTCAACCAACAATAACGGGAATATATATATATATACATATTAATATATATGTATATAGTGAATATGATATCAGCAATAATGGGCAATATATGCATACAGCAACAATAATGGGGTTCAACCAACAATGATGGGAAAATAACGGCAATATAAAGGCTATTCATATAATGGGATATATGATGATATAATTATATAATTATATATTCCAACTTATTATTATATATATATGATATAATTATATATGCTTTATGGTCATCCATCCCACAATAAAAATCCTTAGGTCATTGCTGATTTAAAATCCCTATGATTCAATGAATTGATGTGCCCATGCCCCAGTAGGGGGATAGAATCTGCTCGATGATTCAATGCATCAATGATTGATTATGATTCTAATTACTAATGGATATCAATGAATAGTGATATGGCAACTGTATGGATATCAATGGTTATTGATTATGATATACTAATGGATACCAATGGTTGAATATGTTGTGGATAGTGATATGGGAACTGAAAAAAAGGCTTCATCGGGACAATGATGAAGTGCAAACACCAACATAATGTTTTATCAACAATGTTTAATGGATAATGGTGACCAGTTGATAATTTGTTGATGAATTATCATTAAGTTTAGCTGTTTA